CTCGCCTGCATTTCGCGCACTCGACACGCACGATCTCCGCAGAGGGTCGCGTTTCGTGGTGCTCCGGCGGCACTGCCCCCGGCCTTAAGAGAGAAAGTTGAGAAGAGCGAGAGGTGAAGATGTGAGATGTAGATGTGAGGATGTGAAGATGAGAGAGATGTAGATGTGCAGATATGAAGATGAGCTGAGATGTAGATGTGAGATGTAGATGTGAGGATGTGAAGATGAGAGAGATGTAGATGTGCAGATATGAAGATGAGCTGAGATGTAGATGTGAGGATGTGAAGATGAGCAGAGATGTAAATGTGCTGATGTGAAGATGAGCAGAGATATAGGTGAGAATGTGATTGTGCAGAGGTGAGGATGTGAAGATGTAGATGAGGTGTAGTTCTGCAGATGTGTTTTTGCGAAGAACCCTTCGCAGGCGCTCTCGGGAAAAACACAAGGAAAAGGAAAAAAAGCAAGGGGAAAAAGAACAAGAAAAGGCAGAGAGAAAGGAAAAGGAAAGGGAACATGCTTTTTTGGTGAAGAAGAAAAGTGCGGAAACAAAATCTAAAGACTAAAACTGTGGGCAAAAATTTTTGGTGAGGAGATTTCACGAAGCAAAATCTAATGACTAAAACTGTGGAGAAAATTTTTGGGTGAGGAGAGTTGAGGAAACAACATCTAATGACTAAAACTGTTGCCAAAACTTTTTGGGGTGAATAAAAGTAAGGAAACAAAATCTAATGAATAAAACTGTGGGCAAAAATTTTTGGTGAGGAGATTTCACGAAGCAAAATCTAATGACTAAAACTGTGGACAAAATTTTTGGGTGAGGAGAGTTGAGGAAACAAAATCTAATGACTAAAACTGTTGCCAAAACTTTTTGGGGTGAATGAAAGTAAGGAAACAAAATCTAATGAATAAAGCTGTGGCCAAAGATCTTCGGTGAGGAGAGCTCAGGAAGCAAAATCTAATGACTAAAACTGTGGACAATTTTTTTGGTGCGAGAAAGGAAACAAAATCTAATGACTAAAACTGTGGACAGTCTTTTTGGGGTGAGGGAAATTAAGAAAGCAAATCTAATGACTAAAGCTGTGGACAATAAAATGTTGTTCACAGTCTTAGTAATTAGATTTTGTTTCCTGAACTCTCCTCACAAAAAATCTTTGCCCACAGCTTTATTCAATAGATTTTGTTTCCTTACTTTCATTCACCCCCAAAAGTTTTTGGCCACAGTTGTAGTCTTTAGATTATGTTTCCTCAACTCCCCTCACCCAAATTTTGTGTCAACGGTTTTAGTCATTCGATTTTGCGTCGTGAAAAAACCACATACAAACTACATATTTAATTTTGGAAAACTACATGTAAACTACATACAAAGTACATACAAACTACAAAGTACATATCAGTTCTATGTGTGTTTGATCAAGTTTTCTTTTGTTTGCATATGTTTGTAATGTTTTGCACTAATTTGTGATGCTTTTGGAATTAAACCTGGGCACAATGATCCAAGTGTGGGCAAAAACTTTTGGTGAGGAGAGTTGAGGAAGCAAAATCTAATGACTAAAACCGTGGACAAAAATTTTGGGTGAGGGGAGTTGAGGAAACAAAATCTAAAGACTACAACTGTGGCCAACACTTTTTGGGGTGAATGAAAGTAAGGAAACAAAATCTAATGAATAAAACTGTGGGCAACAATTTTTGGTGAGGAGACTTCACGAAGCAAAATCTAATGACTAAAACTGTGGACAAAATTTTTGGGTGAGGAGAGTTGAGGAAACAACATCTAATGAATATAGCTGGTGAGTATAGGCTATGAGCGAGGAAGCTTTGCGCAAGATGATTCTCTTTGTAGTTGCTGCTCAGCTTAGGGGCATCAGCATCGCACCAAGTCAGAGATGTCAAGGTCAGTCTTCAATCCCTACTCAATCCCTACCAATCACTGTGGGCCAAATTTGCTTGCCCACGTGTTGATGTCAGGCGTACAGCTCCAAGTGGAAGCTTGGAAAGAAGCATTGCCCTGGTGATGGCAATGCTGAGAAGTGGCAGTCGGGGCATCGCTGGTAAGAAAAGGAACCCGGGTGGTGTTCTTCATGGCAAAGCCCAAATTCTTTTTCCCTGTTCCGAATGCTTTCTTGCATCATGTGCCAGGTCAGCTGGCGCTTGTCGAACCATGTCCAACCCATTGACGCATTCAGTTGTTGTGGAAGCACATTGCGCGTTGCTGTAGTGTGGATGGGGACTTGGGTCTCCAACTTCATCCGATGGATTGGCCGCCCCCTGCACTCACATCCGCCGTTGTTGGGAGACATCCGGGCGTATGCGGGGCCTGCCTGCCAGCACTGACATCCTGCCTGCACTCACATCGGCCTTCAAGTCTCCTCCACTTTGCCTATTGCCCGACCAGCGTCGCCCAGCGGCCGCTGTTCAGCCCCCAATTCAAACCGAACCAACACCCTCCCGTTGAAGCATACGCGGGAGGGAACAGGAATTGTAGAATACCATTGCCAAATTGCGCCAGTCGGAGCATGTATACGATTGTATACAGTATAGTATGTTTATAAATTTTCAAAAGGCGTTACCGCAACTAGATGGCCTGGATATGAACTACCCGGTACCCTCTTTGACAGGAACACCTTGTACCAGAACCCGACAAACCACAGCTTTTCTGGTTGAGACCGAGGAGATCAGGTCCTTCCCAACTCTTCGAGGTGCGAACTTCTCGATTACCAAAACACAACGCATGATGCATACGCATGTCGCAGCCCATGTATTATAGAAGCTTTACCGGTTTCCAGGGACAATGTAGTAGGTAAATGTTTGCTAACCTTTGTCATTTAAGGTTTTAAGGGACCATGTATAGGTATAGGCTATAGGTAAATGTTTGCTGAATAGGGTGGTCTTAGAATTTGCTCCACGTAGATGGAAAACAACAAACTGAGGTGTCCTTCGATGGGAATCCCTTGGTCGACGTAAAAGGAACGAAGGAACGACCTCATGGTTTCATGGTCATCGTCTGCCCCCCGTGGTTTCATTTGTGTTTATTATAATGTGCACCCGATCAAGACTTGCACATCCAGAACGATCATGAACGATCCAGTGTAAATCCGCCCGCACCGAAGGTGCCGAGGCGTTTTTATAGGGCACGCATTATACCGCAAGTACTAATAGCTTTAGCTAGGGGGGGGCATTTTCGCTCTAGAATGCTGTTTTTTTTTACGTTTTTGGAACCGGCTTAAAGTGCTGGAAGATAAATTTGTGCTAATTTTTGCTATCTTGAAGCCTTTAGTGATGCAAGAAATGCAATTTTCTGCTTTGCATCATCTGCATCATCTGAGCGGTAAAGTGCCCTAGAAGTCACTATCTAACGGACGTGTCTGCGAGATAGGGACTCCGGGTACGTGGCAGGTCAGGAGCAGAGATAAGGAAAGATAAGGTCCAGGAATGGTGGTCAGGAGCAGACTCACGAGCCTAGCTCCCATATGGTCGGACATAACCCCAGAAGTCACTATCTCAAGTATGCTTCGCCGAGATAGGTACGTGAACGTCAAGACATGGCCCAACGAAGGCTCCAAAGGGACTGGAATAGAGTGAAGATATTGCCTAACATAGCGCTAGAAGTCACTATCTAAAGGACGTGTCTGCGAGATAGGGACTTGAACGTCGTAAACTGGAATAAACAAACCCCTCCTAACGTGGCCAAACATAGCTTCCATATTGCCTGGCATAGCTTTAGAAGTGATATTTGGCTCGACAGGAGCAGAGATAAACAGAGATCAAGTTCAGGAACGGTAACATTTTCGCGCGAGCAGAGCGTGCATATGATCGAACATAGCCCCAGAAGTCACTATTATCTAACGGACGTGTCTGCGAGATAGGGACTTGAACGTCCGGGTACGTGGCTGGTCAGGAGCAGAGATAAGGAAAGATAAGGTTCAGGAATAGTAACATTTTCTCACGAGCAGGGTCACTTCCGGGGCTATGTTCGGTGGAAATATTGTCCCCTTCCATGCGGTGCGGGCGGTTACCGTCGCGAAGCGACGTGAATAAATATTTGGCTACTCGCATCCACCTCGATGGCCCAAAATCTATTGCTGTCGAAAAAAGAAGAAAAAAACCCACAGAAGAGGAATGCTTGATCACTTTACACTTGGTTCCTACTCCATCCTGCACCAGCCCCAGGATCCCTCATTCCATCACAGCAGAA